ATCGAGCTTTTGCTGCTTAATTAATTTGCCAAGTCGGTCTAAGTTGCAAATGATATATGGATATGGCCGTTACGGTGATCTCATCTGCCTAGCTAGGCTAGCTAATTAACTCCTCGCCTTCAGATCAACCACCACCACGCTAATGTTATCGGAGCTCTCCCTCCCGAGGGCCAGCCTCGCGAGGAGTGCCGCCGCGCGGAAGCACCGGGGCTCTTCCTCCTGCGAAACCACCGGCGCGGCGCCGCCGCTGCTGGGAGCGGCTTCGCTGCTCCCAGCTGCAGCAGGAGCTCTGGTCGGGCTCCCGTCTTCCAGGCATTGCCTGGCCACGTCGCAGGCCACCTTGTTGGAGATCACGTCCCACAGCCCGTCGCTCGCGAGGATCAGGCAGTCGTCGTCCTCGCACCTTTCCGTTATGCTGATCTCTGGCTCGCATATCACTTCTGGCTTCAGGAGCCTGTGCCCTGCAAGAATATATAGTTACAATGTCCGAAATGAGATCAAATACTTCTTCATGCATGCTTCAGAATCAGAACAACATATATAGCTAGTGAGAAGAAATGAACTTGTTCTAGGCATGAACAAACTTCAAGTCTCTGCCTTTTCACCCTCTTTCAAAATAATTAGTAAAACTGCTCTCACATTAAAACAAAGCAAGTACCCTGTTCATAATTAATAGGAGCCGCTTCCGGTGTAGGCGTACCCAAAACTGATAGGATGTGTTAACACCAACTTACCAATATATTTTCATATAACACATATGAAGATCTACACTTACCACTTCAGACAAAAAGTTTTTTTAAGAGGATTAAAAACCACAATAGTTACAATACTCCTATAATTAACTTAGCTCAAAATTATGATTGCTACCATTGGCAAACTTGAGCAAAAAGTAGCACGACTTGATCCAAAATGATGTAACATGCACCTATCCTGACTACTTATATGATTGCTACCTTCAGGAAAAGTAATAACAACACTTTTAACATTGATGAACCGGAGACCAACATGTGTGTCCTTCTAGTCCACTCCATTTTTCTGTGGTTGTTGTCAACTGTCATATATATATGCATGATAATGCAACTATCTGGAACTTGCTCTATAAATATATACCCCGAGGCGCCAGAGTGTTGGACCTTGAGTGGCTGGCGTGTGATGGATGGACACGGCTCATATATATGGTCAATCTTGTTGATAATTAACCAATTGGTATAGCACAACTCATCAGGCCATTGCTAGTGATGGCCATTAGTTTTAGAGGCCGGAGATGTGACTCATAATTATTTATCTTGTCAACAACAGCAAAAGTGACATACGTACCGGGAGGTCACCCATCTCTGTCACCCATTATCCAATATAGTACAAAAGAAGAAGTGGCAAACAAAAAGTGTAGAGGACACCTCAGTTTCATAGAAAGTACACCATGAGAGTCACAACCCGTATCTTCCTATTTTATAATTATAAGCATGGAATTTAAAAAGGCAGGAAGGACCATGCTGGCATCCACGAAACTTAAATTAGTTCACATATATTTTGTTTTCAGCGGAAAGGTTAACATGACTACTCTTAGTAATTGTTAATTGGTAGTAGATATAGATGGATGGTGGTAGCAAGATGCAAAGCAACATTTTATCATGCAGTTGTTTCCATATATAAGAAGGCAACAACACAACGCGACAAACATCCCCCCTTTCTGGTATGATATTATAGTGTTAATCACCCCTCCTTGCTAATGGGAGCAAGACCACGTGTTTGAAGCAAGGAAACGACACGTGCGCTTTATGGAACCAATCACACGTACGATAGGTCACCCCTCCTTGACATCATGGTGTGTGGCAAGGCACACATGACGAGCAATGTTGGAAGTGCTCCACATATGTATAGCCAGTTGCGTTCGCATCACATCTGGACAAGGAGACGCTCCTGCATGGCCTATTCGCGAAGGATTCCAAATTTGATGTGGATGACAACCCTGTTCTCGTCTAGCTGCCAGAGGTGAGCTGGGGCTAAACAGATGAAAGTGTTGTTGTTGTTGTTGTTGTTGTTGTTGTTGTTGTTGTTGTTGTGTCTTGTATTGATGGCCTGAGGTGTATATTAGGCAAGTCGGTTGCTAGTGCTAAACCGAGCATGCAGTCTAGTCTAGCTATCGGCTGCGAGTATATATATATATATGCAAAAGGGCAGATTGACTAGTCCTTAACTTGATGCATGAACTTCCCGCTCAAAAATAAAAAACTTGATGACAACTACTCCCTAGCTAAGTAAATATAACTAGGTAGTATAATATACTCCCCTCCGTTCCTAAATATAAGTCTTTATAGAGATTTCGGTATGAACCACATACATATGTATATAGATGCATTTAGATTGTAGATTCACTCATTTTGCTTCGTATGTGGTCCATAGTGAAATCTCTCCAAAGACTTACATTTAGGAACGGAGGGAGTAGAAGGCATGCATGGTTGGCTAGTCGAACTGATCAGGACATATATAATGTAGGTCAAGTTATAAATGGAATCGAATCCAATGAGAGGGTGCGTGCATGGCGAGGATGGTACGTAATTAAGGGAGCAAGCGAAGGGAGCGTACGTACCTAGCGCTCGGGACATGGCGAGGATGCCGCGGACGCGCGCCCCGTTCATGTACATGACCTTGCCGCCGGCCGCCTTGATCCGCGCCATCTCGTCCGGCCGGTCAGGCTGTCGATCGATTGGTTGGTTATAGTTAATAGAATGCATTGCATAGAAAAGAGATGGATGAAAATCCATGCACGCATGCATAAGGTGGTAGCGATCGACGGACCGATGGAGGACGAATCATCAAATCAAATAAAATCAAATTGAAAAGAGAGAAATGCATGCATGCATGCGTGCATATGCGGTAGAACCAAGGGTAGAAGAAACGCATGCATGCATGCAGCCCAGCCCATATATACCATACTAGCAGTTGTGATATTTGTGTGGAATCAGATGAGATGGCCCCCATTCCATTCCATCCCACCATATCCCAATCCCAACCGAGAGAGAGGAAAGAGAAAAGGCGTAGGCTCATCTACTAGAAAAAATTCAGAAGTTCTGAAAAACATTGTGTGGTAGATAATTTGATGCATAAGATTCGCTTCAATTTTTAGCTCATTTGAACATCTAAGCAACTCTCAGCAAAAGAGACAAAGCGGGTCAGAACGGGACGTAAACAATAAACATTTTCACAAACCCCGAATTTGTCTCTTTTTTTTGTGTGCCGAGACCTGTTCAGATGTCCAAACGATTTAAAAATTTGGAACGAACCCATGCATAAAATTATGTACCACACCAAATTTTTTGGAATTTTTTAAATATTTATTTTGATTTTTTGTCGAGGTAAGCCTGAGCTCAAAAATGGATTACCGAGAGAGGCAGCCATACATATTTCACCACCCACTACTCTCTCTCTCTCTGTCGTGAGTGCCGACCATTCCCCTTCCTTCTTTGAGGGTGGGCCCGTGTGCAGGAGGCTAGCTTTGAATCCCACACCCGCCGGTTGGCCATTGCGGTCACCCCACGTGCCGCACCACGCGTCCCCTCACCAGCCTATAGTCCAATCCCTTCTCACCACGTGGCGACGGTCAACCCCAGCTACTCCTAGCGATGAGATGAGAAGAGAAGAGAAGAGAAGAAGCCCTAAACGTTGTGAGGTAATCACTCCTGCATGGCCTGCTTCAATATTCGCTTTGCAATATTTGGTAGCCACGTACGTGGGTATCCAATCCAATCCTCCATGGCCCAGAGACAAAGGAAGGAAGCAAGCAAAGCAAAGGAAGGTGAGGACTGACCTTGTGGTCGTGGGAGAGCGGCACGGCGACGCCGCCCCGGGACAGCACGGCCCGTGAGTCGCCGCAGTTGGCCACGATGAGCCGGTCGCGGACCAGCAGCGCCACCACGGCCGTCGACCCCACGATGGCGCCCTTCTGCGCCGCCGACTGCAGGCAGGAGCACGACTTGGGCACACTCAATGTACTCCCGCGCCCGCACGCGCACGCCGACACCGCCAGCGCGTCCGCCCGGGCGAAGCTCCTGGAGAGAGCGCCACGCCACGCCACTTGCTCCGACGACGCCGACGCCTCCGCCGGTTGCTCCTCCGACTGCTGCCGGTTGTTGAAGGCTGCCGCGGCGCCGGCCATCTCCTCCGCGAGGATGACGTGCATCTGCTCCCTGCACAGCGCCGCGGCCTGCACCATTTCGTTCATTCATCATCATAAGCGTTTAGAATATACTAGTATTAGGAATGTAGGTAGTGAGATGCTGCTTGCTACGTGTCGAGCCGGAGGTGGAGGTGGATGTGGAAGCTGCTGGAATGTGGCCAGGTGGATGGATGCCGTGGCGTACTAGATTAAGCACTCCGGGATTACATTAGAGAATTAATTAATTAAGTACGTGAGGCGTACGTGGGGGCCGCCGTGTCCGTCGAAGACGGCGAAGAGGTGCATGGGCGAGCCGTCGGCCCAGGCGCAGAAGCTAGGGTGCAGCGACACCGTGTCCTCCATCTCCCGCAGCCGCCCCGCCAGCGCCACCGACCCGAACGACACGGGCCATCTCTTCTCCTTCTCCTTGGAGGAGGGCAGCTGCTGGGGCGCCGCCGCGACAACCGCGTCAGAGCCCTCCTCGGCAGCGCTCTGCGAGGACGGCGCGGACTCGGAGGAGGAGTCGGAGGAGGGCGGCGGGGACTGCACTACTTCCCCTTCCTCGGCGGGGCCGGGGGCCGGGGCGGAGGAGGCTTGGTGGGCGTAGCGGCGCGCGTGGAGGCGGGCTCGCCTGCGCAGGCGACCTTCCTCGGAGTCCCCCTGGGGCATGTTGTTGACGCCGGCGCTGGCCATCACCATGGAGGGAGGATCGGACTGTGACTCACACGGGGGCGGGGGAGGAAGAGGAGCAGCGCGGCGTGTACCGGAGCCGGAGCAGCAGCAGAGCGGAAGCGAATCCCATGAGAGAGCGTGCTTGGGTTGCTTCAAAGGAGGAGGAGGAGGAGGAAGTGGGTTTGTGTTCCTCCGTCCGTCTCATCTCGCGCAAGCCAAGCGTCACTTCGGATGCCCGCCGGGGCCCACGTCCGGGGCGACGTGGCGACACGTGTCATGCGACCCGGACCACCCGCCAATGCCCTGCCTGCGTGGTTGGCTACCCCTCTCCAAGTAGTAGCATGCATGGGCCCAATTTTTTTTTTGATTTTTTTAACAAAGAAAGGCGCACAAAGCGTCAACATTTTTATTCAGCTCAATTACATCTTACACCTCAGTCCAATCGGAGGGGGAGGGGATTTCTTCTCTCACCTCTTCAGGCATGTGCGGTTCGAAATACCTCATCTCTACTGCATCGATTCATGTAGATGAGAATATTGTGGGAAAACTGGGGAAAACAGAGAGGATAGAAAGAAAGGAGAAGCGTAATAGTAGAAAAATTCATAAACTCCAAAATGATGAAAATGGAGAAAAAGAGCTCGGAGATGAAGAAAAGGCCGAGATTAATAATATAAAAAAACAAGGTGGGATTGGGGAGGATAAGGGAGTATGTGAAGCTAGAACTGTGCAAATGGTCATGAGGCAAGGAAATGTTCAGCCCATTGATGTATGGTATGATGAAGAGGACCTTGACTTTGGTGAATTGTTCATTAGAAAAACTCCGATTACACCCCACACAGGAAAAGGGGGGGGGGAGGAGATATAGATAAAGAGAAAATAGAGGAAAAATTGGTGGCTAAGTTTGGGGCCCCGATTGGTAGAAAAGTTCAAACTGACATGGACCTGGACTTGGCTTGTTGGGCCTTAAGCCCAGACAGAGAGAAAGCCCATGTCCAGGAGAAGTGGGACGAGCTTATAAATAGGCAGAGGCAGGAAGAGAAAGAGAAAAGTGACCTACCTCTAGGGTTTACCCTCCAGCCGCCAAGAGAAGAAGAAGAGAGCATGGCTGGAAACTTCGGGAGAGGCTTTGGGGGAGGAAGAACCAACAGAGGGAGAAGATTTGGAGATTTTGATGGGAGAAAAATAGGGAAATTTGGTGGAGGAGATAGGAGAAGATCCAATTCTTCGAAAAATTCCTTTGACTTCCATGGCAGAGGAAGGGGTCGCTCGGGCTTTGGTTTTAACTTCGGGAGAGGCATTGGAAGCTCAGATGCTACCAATGATGGATCAGGGGGAGGCAAGGTTTGGCAGATTAAGGAAGGGGAAAAAAGATAGCGGAGACAGAAGATAGAATCAGGAAGAGGAGAGGAGGCTGAGGATAAGCAGAGAGACTGCAGAGAAGAGGGAGAAGGAAACATTAACCCCAGCCAGGAACAACAAATCTTGAGCGCCTTACTTTCACAGCTAGTGCAGGGGATGAGCAAGAATGGGATCCCCGTGGGAGACAATGAGAAAAATAAATCAGTGATGAGCTATGATAAAGAAATGGTCAAGGAATCTGAAGTTGGTGAAGAAAATATGTTGAAGAGAGCAAAATGGAATAGCTCTGGTAATAGCTCTGGCAATAGTTTCAAGAATCGGATGAGCAGTGAAACTTGGCAGCAAAATGCAAGTGATGACATGAGTAGAAATGATAGGTTCAATAGACAGGTCTGTGGGAAATTCAAAGATCCTAGACATCTTACTAAAGATTGCAAAGTGGGGCATTGTCTGGTTTGTGGGAGAGATAACCACATCACTGGAGATTGCAACATGTTGAAGCAAATGAAACCAGTGCCCAAATATGTTGGGTATGCTGCAAAAGGCCTTGGTGTGTTGCTCGTGCAAAGTTACAAGGATGTTTTGACTGTAGAACATATAAATCCATTAGGAGTGGTGATCATTAGAGATGGACAGATAAATGAAACTGAGTTGATAAAGGCTCTAAATGATATGTTTGATTGGGGATGGCAATGGAGAGTAAAGGAATATGAAAAGAACTGTTATATGATGAGATTCCCCAACAAAGCAAAGTTGGTGGAGTTGGCTAAGTTCAATGACTTCAATTTATTGGGAATTGGTGTCACCATAAAAGTACAGCCCTGGTTCCTTGATCATTTGGCAATTGGGAAGATGCATACTGCCTGGGTGAAATTTGAGAAAGTGCCAGATTGCTTTAGACATTTTTTGGTATGTGTGAAGTGGCTGCTGCAGTGGGGCTTGTTTTGGAAATTGATACGGACACTATCAGTGAGGAAAAAGTAAAAGTGAAATGTGGGGTGAGAGATGTGGGCAAGATCCCTTCCTAGGTGAAAATTACTTCTCCGGATTTGCTAATGTTCAGAATTGGGGCAGAGTTAGATAAGGTGACTGAGATGGGCTAGTATAAGGAGGAGAAAAGAAAATCTGAAGTTGTGTCTGATATGAAAGTTGGAGATGAAGAGGAAGAAACTAGGAAAAGAGCAAAGTTAAATGGAACTGATAGAAGAGAAATGACCTTGGGCAGCTTATCTCTGAAACAAAGTTGAAGAGATTGACAGAAAGAATGAAATGGTGAAAAACTCAATAGAAGAAATTATTGGGCAGTTGGACAAGACCATGGCTGCTGAGAGAGGAAAGATGCAGAAATAAATGAATATCATGTTCAGGAAAATTCAGAGTTTGGAGGAAGAAAAAGCTAGACAAAGTGCTTTGTGGAACAAGGCTAACAAGAGAATAAAAGATCTAGAGGACACACAGAAAAATCTAGAGGGTTTGATTGAAAAACAAAGAGAAGATATAGGGAAATTGGTGCAGGAGGCTGCAAACAGAGAACAATATGAGATGGAGTTGGCTAATCTAGAGGTGGAAGAATATGAAAAAGGAACTTAAGAAAGGAAACAGGAAATAGGGCCTGGGAAATACAATGAACCCACTGATTACAAATGCAAGTCAAGAGTCGGCGGGCACTTTGGGAGAAAAAATGGCAGAATTACATGGGGTGGAGGTGATAGAGAAAAATGATGAGGACAAAGAATTTGAACTGAAGAGAAGTCTGAGGAACAGGGGAAAAGAAGATCAGAAAGTGGAGGAAATGACAAAGATGAGGGCTGAAGAAAGAGATAATTATGGTAAGAATCTTGACTTAAACTGTGCAAATCCCTCATTATTACATCTTAGTTCTTTGGTTGGTATTGATTTGGGATGTTCCATTGACATGATAGATAAAAATTTAGAAATCATTAGAAAAATGGAGATAGCAAGAAGAGAGATATATTTTCAAAATTTGATGGAGAAAAAGAAAAAAGAGGAAAGAAGCGGTAACATGGGGGAGGAAAAAACACACCAATGCATATAAAACATTGAAGATGTTGACTTAGACGATATTTGTTCGGACTTAGAACATTCTGATGCAGATTTGGAAGAGCAGCAATTTGTGAAACTGGTAAATATGTTCTTAGGAAGAAAGGGGAGAAAAAAGAATAGCTCACCAGTATTAAGCTGTGTGAAGCAATCAATTGGGATTGGTGTGCTCAGGAGGGAAAACGATATAAAAATGAGAGGAATTTTCTGGAATGTGAGAGGTTTGGGGCAGGATCATAAAAAGAGATATGTTAGAGAACTGATTGTGGATCATAGACTAGACTTCATAGGGATTTCTAAAACTATTAAACAAAAGTTTTAGAAGAATGAATTACATAATTTGTGTGGGGGAGGAATTTTGAATGGTGATGGAATGTACCTTGGGGAATGTCAGGTGGGATCCTGATGAGGATTAATCAAGATAGGTTTAATGTAGAACACACTGAGAAAGGGGTCTATTTTGTGAGGATGATGTTATATGACAAAATTATCAAAATGCATTGGAATTTGATTACTATTTATGGAGATGCACTGATTGAAGGAAAAACATGCTTCCTGGCAGAAATGAAAAGGAAAAGAATAAACCTATGCATTATGAGCAATGGACATTTATGTTCAATGCAATCATTGAGCAGGCTAGGTTGGGGGAGCTTCCATTAAATGGAAGACAATTTACCTGGGCTAATAATCTAGATGATCCAACCTTTGAGAAATTAGATAGGGTTTTAATGTGCCCAATGTGGGAAGAGAAGTATCCCCTAACTATCCTTCAAGCTTTTGCAAGGGAGGTGTCAGATCATACACCTCTTTATTTGGATACAGGGGATGATCACCAAAAAAATACATATTTAGATATAAAAATGCCTAGGCCTTGAGAGAGGGGTTTTAGGAACTAATACAGAAAACTTGGAATGAAATATACTATGGGAGAATATTAGAAAGATGGCAGCTAAGAATGAGAAATCTGAGGAAAAAGGCAAAAGGATGGAATAGGAATGTTGATGCCTGATATAGAAAGATAAAGGTTGACATTGTCAAAAGATTAGATGAAATAGGTTAAAAAGCTGAAATTAGGGGGATTAATGTGGTTGACAGAAAAGAACAAAAAGAATTGAGAGAACAATTGAAAAGGGTGATGATGTAGGAAGAGATTAAGATAATACAAAGATATAAGGAAAAAATTATAGAAGGGGATGGAAATACAAGATATTATCATGCAAAGGTTAATGGTAGAAGAAGGGAAAACAGAAAAATATCTCTAGAACAAGAAGAAGGAGTGATTGAGGGAGAGGGAGAACTAATGAAATATATTACTAACTTTTACAAAAAAATGTTGGGCATCCTAAAGAAGCCCAGATCTCAATGAGAGATATGGAAACTAACAAGATTAGTGAGGAGGACAAGGAAAGGCTGATGGGCCCCTTCTCACTAGAAGAAATTAAAAAGGTGGTGTTTGGGATGAAAAATAATAAAAGCCCTGGGCCAGATGGGTTCCCAGCTGACTTCTACCAGGAATTTTGGGATTTAGTAAAGTGGGACCTCAAGGCCCTGATAGAAGAATTTGCTAGGGGAAAAATTAACATTGCTAGATTGAATTATGGCATCAT